GCAGCTGAGGCACTGAAGAAGTCAGAGATCCTGGCCTCACATCTGGTCTCCATGCTGACCGCTGTGTGACCCTGGGCGAGGCACAGCCCTCCCTGAGCCTCGAGTCCTTCTATGCAGCCAAATGATCCCTGGGGTTGCTGCCAAGAGGCAAAATAAATTCCAACTGGTCGTGTCTCCCAGGGGACTCACGTGCTGTTTCACAGTGGCCTTGAGGAGTAACAGCCCCAGGAAGTGATGCCAAGCTGTGGAGGTGAGAAGCAGAGTAGGAAGGCCCAGAGGGTAGGGGCAGGGGAGATATTTTGAGGCAGGCGGATCCCTTGGTCACCACTGGACAATGGTCCAGGGCAGCCATTGTGCTGGAAGTGGAAAATCCTTTTCTGACTTCAAGGGATGAAAATAGTCTGGGGTGAGCCCCTGGGGACTAGCTGGGTCTGGCTCATTGTTTCTGATTGGGATGGGGCTGAGACTGGACACCTGGCTGAGTGGGAACCCAGACAGAAGCAAACTCTACTAAAGAGGCTTGGGCCACTGTAGAGTGGCTGGACAGAGTCAAGGTCCGTTGCATTTGGGGAAACTGGAAACTGAGGCCCAGAGAGAAAAAGGGATTCACCACATCACATGGTGCATCAGGGCAGAGGAGGATGAGCTTAGCTTCTGGGGCTCATTTCCCCCAACCCTCCACCCCCCACCACAAGCACATATGCCTTGGGAAGGCAAATACATCCCTCACCCTGCAGCCCATCACTCCTGGCCAAGCACAGGAGGCAGAAGCATCAGACATTCAACTGGTTCTACTTCAAGACACTACGTGGCGCCAGTGGAGTCACTTCACCTCTCTGGTCACTTGATGCCGAGGGGAGACCAACTGCCCAACTCTAGTCCTCAGAATTGAGGGCCCAGGGAGTCTTGGGAGTGCCTGGGGAAGCAGCTGTGTCTTTGATGAAAAATCTAGGCAGCTGCTGCCCTGAGGTAGGGAGAATTGGAATGTGGGAGGCAAGGTCTCCAGGCTTTAAAGTGACCCAGAGAGGGCAGGCAGGTGATCTCAGGTCACATGGCAAAAACCACCCATCCATTGCCTGCTGTGGCCCAGCTCCAGGCCAGACTTCCAGCCCTGAGTCTCTGACTCTTGGTTAAACAAAGGGTGGCTGCAGTATCCTGTGGTGGGCACCACCAGTCAAGGAGAAATGGCTAAGCCTGCTGCCATGGGTGGGTAGAAGCCCTCGAGTCCATAGGGGCTGACTCTGGAAGCTTGATATCCAGGGCATCCTCCTCGTCCTCCAACCCCGTCACTTTTCCCTGCTGCTTTTACATTGCCAGGCACCTGGACAAGGTTCTGTAAACCCACATGGGCTTGTGAGCCTGAAAGCCACCCAATGCCAGGCAGGGCAGGTGGTGGTCCCACACCTTACCCCAGGATGAAACAGCTCCCTCCTCCTGCACCCCAGGGAAGCCTCAGCCACAGCAGACACCCTGTTGCTCACTGGCCAGACACAATGTCCTTTCCTTCAAATCACTTATCTTAAGGTGGTTACATAGTAAACTGTCAACTTCAGGATAACACGGTCCAGCTGGTTTGCCTTCATATTCCCTTGGCACAGTGCTTGGCGCGTAAATGCTTATCATGTGCCAGGCTCTGTTCTAAGTGCTTCATGTGTATTAATTCAGGTCAGCCTCCTAGTACTCCACATAGGAGGTAGTATCTCCTTTTAGAAATGAGAAAATAGAGGTGCTGCAAGATTAGGTGCCTAAAATACCACAGCTGGGGGAAGTGGAGGCAACATTCAGACACAGGTGGTCTGGTCATAGAATTGGTGCTCTTAAACCCAACCTCACTGATGGCCTTTCATCTTGAATCATGTGAAGGGTCGTTTACAAACTCTCCTGCCCTTCAGGGGTTACTAGAGGCATGGGATACTGGAAAGAGAGCTAATCTGGGCATCAGATGGACCAGGATTCAATCTTAACTCACCCATTTACTGCCTGTATAACCTGGAGCAAGTCCTTACCTCTCAGAGCCTGTCCCCTCATCTACTAAATGGGGAGCATCATGTCGATTTCACACAGTAGCAGTGAAGAATAAATAATATACTGGATGTGAGAGGGCCCTGCATGGTACCTGGGATGTGGGCCAGTACCTCAGCTCCCTTCCTCATGTGCCTAACTCTAAACAGATCAGCCCAACTCTGCCATGACAAGAGTGGTGGCAGGGGTAGCTTTGGTGGCTTGACCTGGTCTAAGACTCGAGTAACTGTGTATAGAGGGCATGTTGGCCAGGGCCTTTCCAAGCCTTGGAGGGTAAGAGTGGGAATGTCTGTGGGATCCCCCCTCCTTCTTGGGCCCAGGGATAACTGCCACTCAAGCAGAGAACCCTATGTGCCAGGGCCCCTGCCCTTGTTGCACAGACCTCACTGAGACCAGTGCTGTAAGCCAGTCAGCAGGCATTTACTCCTCCCACCCTGCTGTCCCTACCATCCCGGCCCCCTGGGTTCCTGGCCTCAGCTCCCCAGCTCCTTCTACAAAGTGGGAAGAGCTGGGACAGAGTGGGTGATGGAGGATTCCCACAAAGGCACTAACCTGCACTAAAGGGAACAGAGCAGCTGGGGCAGCCTGAGCCCCTGGCGTACATCCAGGCACCACGCTGACCTGCTGAGTGACCTTGGGCAAGGCCCCGCCCCTCTCTGGCCTTGAGTCTGCAGCTGGGCTGAATAATCCCTGGAGTCCCTGTCAGGGGGTTGTGCCCGTTCATAGTGGCCTTCAGGAATCAACAGCCCCAGGAAGTGATGTCAGGGTGGAGGTGGGGAGAGGGCAGGGAGGCCCAGAGAGTAAGAGGAGATATTTTGAGAGCA